ACTGGATTTACGTCGCTCAGAATAGGATCCAATAGCGGGGCTGTTGTGTGCACGGTAATGAGCATACAGCTACACAAAAGGCGGTGAAGTGCTCGACCGTCTGGGCTACTGTCAGCTTCTGAAGTAGAACCCTGCTTCCTGCACGTATCCCCAAGCGTCGCACCCAGTTAGAACAGTTGGGATTCGGCGTAGCGACTGGACTACAGAGGAAGCGGAGTTCGATTCCCAGCACGGGAAGAGATTTTTCTGTTTCCCATAGTGTTCAGATCGTCACAAGTGCACACCGAGCCCCCTGACCAATGGTTACAGAAGGCGGCCGGCGCGCGAAGCTGATCAGTTAAGCACAGGAATGGCTACTCAACAGGCCGGTCTAGCTGCCAGGCACTGGATATGTATTTGGAAGGTGCTCAGTTCAATTCTTGACCGGGACACCGACTCTCCTGAGGCATATCGTGGTTTTCTTCAGTCCCTCCAAACATTCCGGGATATCTCGATTACGCCACGACAACTTCCTTCAAAATTCTTTCCAGTTCATTCGCCAGTAATTCAAACCATCGACGTTATGTAGTGTAATTATTGACAGGGTGGTGAAGTAGTTAGTTAGTTATTAGAGAGGGTGGGTTTCCCATGCGCTTAGACCTGTAGTGGTCCATTGTGCTTCCCTCTATGATTTCTACCAGCCTCTATATCCTACCGGTATTTGTGCTTACCATCAGTCCCACCCAGCCAGCGAGACCGGCTCTCTACTGGCTGAGAAGTATCTATAATGCTTCCCCCATCTACCGGAGGTATTAGTGACTGCTGTTGGGCGGCAAACGTCCGCAATTTTGCTCAGTGACCTCCTTTGGAGGTATGAGGTTCTTTTACGTGCCATAAAGCTACGACACGGGACCCACGGCTTAAAGTCCCTCCCGGGGGACTTGTTCCCTGAATTTTTCCGCCCTTAAAAATTCGACGACCTCCGCCCGGTATTTGAACCCGCGTACTACGAGTCATGAGGTAACTCGCAATACAAATACCTCGGAACTGTTTCTTAACGTCGCCGCTTGGATCGCTACATGCCGGTGGAACTCGTTATGTGTGTCACGCTCGTGCGGGCAATCCGAATACTAAGTGTAAGGCGGGACAGTAAAAGTGAACGCTGTACCGTTACTTAATGTAGCTATTGTGTAAGCTTGCTTCAGGTTTGGGCTGTCACGATCGAAAGGAAGTTTCAACTCATTGCAGTCTGTGAGAACTGCGCATATCATGCTGCAGATTGTTGCTTACACTGAGCCTCTCGGAATGTGGGGAACCAAGATCGACTGCTTAAACACATTTAAACTGTTTAGAACTATTTGCACCGATAGCCCTAGAACATTCAGGATAGACGAGTATATTCTAAAATAATTTTAAAATATTGGTACTGTATGGCACGTTTCCTTCTCATTTCGGCTTAAGTACGGGGAGGGGGGAGATGCCTAGCTCCCCCCCCCCCATTTGCCGGTGCCCATGCTTCTGGTTTACGACGTGTGGTTGGCTACTGATGTTTCGGAACAACCAGCTGCTTCTGTTTGCAGCCTCTTAGAAGAACAACACGTGGGAAATAGTTCATTGTTCTTGATCTTATTCTTCAAAATTATGCACCCTTGGCTCTTTATTCAACGATGCTGTGAATATCTCAGATTTTTTAAGATGGTCAGTGAATCGACAAATTTTAAAGGACATGAAAAGAAGCGATCTTGGCTAATTTGAGGTACCGATGGCCGGCGCCCTAACCGAGGTTTGAACGCCAAATTTCAGCTCGATCGCGAGCTTTGACATGAATAACCAAGTTCCCTGGCCTTTAATATCTCAGGTTGTCTGGGCTTCGCACTCAGCCGACTTAAATGAAAGAAATTTGATATTATTATTTGCCTGCGTGCCCAACCATTTTCGTTGTTCGTGACGGTTACTCGTGTTTTGCGCCTCTTGAAACTCGAGACTTGAAACCCCTAAGTTTTAACAGGAGAGCCAAACGTGATACGTGTTGTGCTATTTGTGCACCTTCTCCTACGTCCGCCTCTTCTGTGAGCACAACCTGACGTAAACCCTACGTACATCGAACGCAGTAAAGACCCTGCTCAACTTCGTATCTCTCTTCATAACGCATGAAAGTCCATCTCCCAACGCTTTCCTCTCTCTCCAACTTACCTTTATTATAAGAACGAGCGGGCAATATCTGGGAACATTCAAACCCGATTTTTTTTTCGCGTCGCAAAATTACAGTGTTTCTCACTGCTTCTCTCCCCCCCACACACTTTCTCTTCTTTTTCTCTCGTACGTGTACACAGATGTTATCCTTCATATGTAAAATCGTTTTTAACTTAAGAGATTTATCGTTGCCTTTACGCAACTTCCGGTTACCATAACAACGAATTGTCGAGCATGAACGTATGTTATGTATTAGGTCACGAACGAACGAGAAGTCTTTTATCTCGGAGTATCCTGTCTAGTCTGTGTGTACTGGTAATATTTTGATGTGGATATGTGAAGCTAGTGTATACTGTATAAAGAAGAAGGTTTACAATATATTATTTGTGCGTGTTGTTAGTGGGAAATGGGGGTTAAGCATCGGCCTCGACGTATCATTCGATAACTTGCAAGACTGGAAAGGAATTCGGAAGAAAGCAGAGGGAAGTTAATTGAACAAAAGCTTATACAGGTATAACAAATGGTGAGACCGTTGAATTCTCAACGGGTGTTGCATTAGTAATTGCGGATTATCGTAACTTATTTTCAAACTATATACTTTAGGAAGAAGTAATTTCACCATCGGAATTTTTCTTCAAATTGTCAGTCTTATATTTACATGCAGCCTCACGGTTTCGCCCTCAGATCGCAATGCATAAGTAGACCCGTGCCTCAGGAGGCAATAATGGGAGAGCTGGGAAGTTTATAGACGATAGGCGTTGAAGAGTCTTGCCTTCTATCCTCAGATGGCAATGCATAAGTAGACCCGTGCCTGGGAAGTTTATAGACGATAGGCGTTGAAGAGTCTTGCCTTCTATGATATCCCAGAAGATAGAACTGTTCTTCACCCCAGATCCTGCCTATGACAAGAGTTACCTCACCTGGATGCAGCCTTGTCGACAGGATCTCTTACGAGGTTGATGTAAGTGGGAGACTGCCGGTCGAATTGGCTGAAGTTAAGGAAGTATACGTGGCGGTCAAAGGTCACGGGCACTGCCTCGTCACGAACTTTCCTAGTGACCTCTTCCACCAGTTCTTCCTGAGAACCGATAACACACGTAACATTAGCATTTCATAAGGTCACACAGTATCAAAAACATTTAAACAACATCTGAGGCTGTTAGAGAATGAGTCGGCCCCAGGGCCATAGTACGGCTGGAAGGATTAGGTCAGTTGAAGAAATCCAGCTCATCGGGACTCTAACCGGTAGCGTACCGGCTTGTAGCATAGTGCCTCAACCAACTACGCTACCGCGTGCCCCAGAATCGTGTTGCACATTATTAATTAACAGATGTCTCTGATGTTCCCTCTTACATGCAACACTTTAAAAAAATGTTTAAAAGTTACTACATACACATAATGCGTCTCTTAAACTTATTTAAGAACCACGTTGTCCACTACATGTTTCGACCATCACTGGTCATCATCAGGTGTTTTAGAACTGTTCTGTGGAGACTGTTGTGCTTGCGTAGCCCCATCACACGTTCGTGTTTTCGTAACACGCGCTAATAATCCGTGTTAGTGTTTTGTTTACAGTGTGTTAATGTTCTGGACGTTTGTATACTTACTTCGTGGTGCAGCGTGTCTTCTCCTGCCGCGTTGCGTTTGAGCTCTTCGCCGAACATTATAGGGACGGCGGAACCAACGCCGTGATGGGCGGGGCACATAGCATATATGAGACTTGTGTTCATATTTTTGTTGGAAAACCTGAAGATAATAGACTACTTTGAAAGTATAAATGTAGATGGAGGGATAATATTAAAATGAATCTTTAAAAATTGGATGGAAGAATGTGGATTGAATTTATTTTAGGGGATGGACGAGTGGCGGGCTCTTGTTAGCACCATAACTAGTCTTCATGTTCCGTAAACGGCGGGGTATGCGTTGACCAGCTAAGAGATTTTTCTCTTCTCAAGACGTACACTGTTGAGTAGAGAGACATTTATTTCATGCTCTTAAGACGGAATGTGGTTCAGAAAGACATTTTCCAGAACATTCAACTTTGAACCATTAGATTCTAATGGTTCAAATGGCGCCCGTGGTAAATTTTTCTGGCGCCCTCGGTAACCACATATAATTGAGCCGATTTTTAATATTAATTCAAATTGTAAGGCAAGAGACATTTTTGAATGTCTGAGTACTGTTAAATATTTTCGAAAAATTTTATTATTATTATTATTATTAGTAGTAGTAGTAGTAGTAGTAGTAGCAGTAGTGCGGTGGCGCCCGCACCTCCATAGGCATCAGTGAATTGTGCCCGAGTACATAAGAACGTTGGACAGCACTGCATTAGAACAACTAGAATTAAGTCTACGGAGTAGAATTATAAAAAGTTAACAGTTTCTGAGTTACTCAAGATATCCCCACTATTTCATGGAACCAGAAGGTTCATTACCTTGTTCACAAGAGCCCACCACTGGCCTTGTACTCAGTCATCTGATTCCTGTCCACAACTTCGTCTCATTTCATTAAGATAGATTTTAATTGTATCATCTCTACAGGAGCCGGGATGGCGTAGTCGGTACGGGCTGGACGACCGACGGGTCGCAGTTCGAGTCCCGCTAGGGTCAATAATTTTTCTCTTCTCCACGTCGACCAAGTGGGCTCCGGGGTTCACCCAACCTCCTGTGCAATGGGTACGGGGGGGGCTGTTTCCCCGTGGGTAAAGCGGCCGGAGCGTGAAGCTGGCCACTCACCTCCAGCTAATGCCAAGGTGAAGCAAATTTGTATCTATACATCCACTCCACCATACGCCCTCATGGCTTAGTGTTAAACTACTTGAGCACGGAGAAAACTTCACTTCTTGTCTACTCCCAGGTGTTCCAAGTTGCCTCTTCAAGATTCCCGACAGAAACTTTGTATTTCTCATCTCATCCTTAGATACAGATCGGAAGGCCTCTGAACCCGGTAGCGGAAATTTGCATTAAAATATCATTAATGTCATTTCCTGGTCTCAATTCACCGACAGGTAACAAACGAGTTTCAAATCAACTTAAAAAGAAAAGGAAAAGAGAAATTCGATCAACACGTACTGGAATCTGGTCTTGGTTGCATGACAAGTGTACGTAAACGCCTCACTGATTTGTTACGACTGAAGACTCTGCAAAATGTAATGCACACGTCCGTCCAATAGGAACAGAGATTAAAACTTCCGAAGAAGGAAGGGCAAGTAAATTAAACCTGCTCTACAAATACTCGCGGGTGAAACAGATAATTCAGGGATATGTTCTGCTTTCATTAACGTTAAATAAAACTATTTGAAGGCGGATGGTGGCAGGGACGGGAGAAGGGTAGAAGATGAAGTGGAGGAAACCGCCATCTTTCTTCGGTATTTAATCCGACAGTACTTGAGATCTATTTAATGCATCTTTTCCACCTTTACTGAAGACAGGACAAAAATATAAAAAGGTAAAGTTTTCCCTTTGCTTAACTAATTAAGCACTACGCCATGAAGACGTACTGGGGAGTGAATGTATAGATCCACATATTCTTGGTCTCAGCATTAGTTGGAGGTGTGTTCAACATCACGCCCCTGCCGCTTTATCCCCGGGTACCCATTCGGTAGGAGGCTGGCTGAGCCCCAGACGTCTGGACTACATGTAGAGGAAGAAAATCTTGCTCTTACTGGGACTCGAACTCCGACTCCTCGGCCATCCAACCCTTAGCCAATCGCTATAAGAACTGTGCTATCCTGGTTCCATAAGATATACAATATATGTCTTTTAAAAGGTAAAAATTATTACAGTTCACACTCGATTCCTCAGAAACGGCGGTATGTAGCAGCCCTGAAGAAGGCCTCCTTTCCATATAATTCCATTTTCCTCCGATGAAATTTCGAGTATCGAAAGGGCCCTTTTTTCACATTTCCTATTGGCCCGGATCAGGTTATGTTTCCTCTCCCTCTTATGTGGATCTGAGTGATCACGTCCTGATGGTATCCTCGTCCTACTCCTTCCATGAATATGGAGGCAAAATTTCCCTCCGAAACATCCAGAAGACTGAACTCTGAAGGTGGAGGCGGTATATTCCTCCGGAATTTTGGTATCCCCCACAAAACTACACGGTGTCACAACCTCAGGAGAGCATAATTTGAACTTACGTACCTGTTGCATTCTGGAGAGGTGTCTCACATCTCCTCCCCCGAGGCGAATATGTCTGAACCCGTTCACTCCTTGCAGCCACTGTAGGAGCAGCACCAACATCTCACTTCCGGATTTCGGAACTCTGTTAAAAAATATCACGTGATCACTGAGTTCCGGAATTTTAACATTTTGTCTCAGCTCTTCCAAAGATTTAGTAACTCTTCGAACCGATGACGTCGCTACCGGTAAGCCAGTCACAGTTGCCTTGGTAACCGCAATGTTGTCATACTTCATGTGTCGTTGCGCAATCAAAAGCAATGTTCCGACACCAGAAATCAGTATCGTCATGAGTAACACCGACGGGTAAGAAACACGTCCAACCGTTTGTGTCATGGCGCCAAGACGCTGGCAGAATCCATGCCGTCCGCCTTCGAAGCTTCCACAGTTGAAAGTGAAGGGACGACGCGATGAACCCGAACGGACAGTACCGCAGCCAGTCTACGGCGTGCAGATGCGGAGGTCTCTGTTTGTAGGCCACGGTGTCACGAAATGTTCAGATGAAAGTGATTGGCAGGCTCCTGGATTTCTACTTGTGACTTTTAACTCTTTAAAACACAGCGGTAACTGTATGTACCCCCTGCTTTAACATTAAAGACTCCACATTTTTTTTCCAAATAGTGTACAATAGTGCATTTATGTGTTCCGTATGGTTCTCACAGTAAACAGCGATTATTTCCCTAAACAGCATTAACCGGTTGGGCTTTGAAGCGGAGACGTAATGTGTTTCGTGTGAGGTGCGGACTGGAGTCTGCATTCTGCCCACACAGTGTATTTGTGTGTTCCGTATGGTTCTCACAATAAACAGCAGTTATTTCCCTAAACAGCATTAACCGGTTGGGCTTTGTAGCGGAGACGTAATGTGTTTCCCGTGAGGTACGAACTGAACTCTGCATTCTGCCCACGCAGTGTATTTATGTGTTCCGTATGATTTTCACAATAAACAGAGGTTATTTCCCTGCCTCAGTGCAAGTTTGTCCACCACAAATCCCACTTGACTAGACCCGGGATCGAACCCGGGCCGCCGCGGTGGGAAGCCAGCGACTAACCTCTTGAACTATGGCGCAGCCTAACCGGATGCCTTTGTAGTGGAGACGTAATGTGTTTCCTGTGAGATACGGATTGGATTTATATGTTTTTTTAATTATTATTTATTGCTAGTGGGGTGGGACTAAGTCCCTTGTACTGCGGCCACTTGTGGCCTATTGTACCAGCCCCAGATGATAGGTTAGGGCGATTGTGGAGCAATTGGTGGAATGAAGATTGCCAGGAGAAAACGAAGTACTCAGAGGAAACATGCCCCAGCACCACTTTGTCCACCACAAATCCCACTTGACCAGACCCGGGATCGAACCCAGGCCACCGCGTTTAGAAGCCAGCGACTAACCGCTTGAGCTATGGCGCGGCCTATTTATATATGTTATTTAGATTATTATGGAGGAGCCGGGATAGCGCATTCGGAATAGCGACTGGCCAGCGGTTGGAAGGCAGAGGGTTCGGAGTTCGAGTCCCGACAGGGTCAAGAATTTTCTCCGCGTCGTCCAGACCGGCTCTGGGGCCCACCCAGCCTCCTATCCAATGAGTATCGAGGGCTCTTTACTCGTAGGTAAAGCGGCCGGGGCGTGAAGCTCGCCACTCAACTCCAGAGAGTACAGAGGTCAAGGAAAGGTGATATACACACATATATACAAGTATATCCACCGCCACTATACGTCTTCGTGGCGTAGTTCTTAATTAGCTAAGCGCAGGCATAACTTTACCTTTTTTACTTAGACTATTATCTCTCTTTAGAGGACTAATCGAAAATTCAACGTTTGGGCTAAACAGACCAGAATCCTTCGAAATCCAATTGTCACTGCGCTAAAATGCTGGAACACAAGGGTTCATTACTCTGTAAAAGTCGACCACTTGACCAAAGTCTGAGCTAGACGCTCCTCTCTGTAGTCTCAAAACCATAGTTATTTAAGATCAATTTTAATATTAGCACCCAATCACCGTCTAGGTCTCCAAACTGAAAGTTTACACACATTCTTCAATTCTTCATCCCCCCCCCCATGACCCGGGATAGCTCAGTGTAGTGACTATGCTACAAGTTAGGTGATCAAGTTTTGATATCCGACATGGGCAGAAGTCCACACTGGGTATGCAACCCTCTCATCGCCCTGTCAAGTGGATCTAGGGGGTGAGGCTGGCGGGACGTGAAGCTAACCGATTGTGTAGATCTGTGGCTGAGGTTAAGGATTTTACCTCCACTCTCTCATACATCTTCATGTCATGCTCTTAAGCACCAAAGTGTGGTCTTTGATACAACATAAAGACACTTTTAAATTTACCTTCATCCACACCTGCTACACATACTGCCCATCACGCAATTACGAGGCTCTCACTGTGGTGTCTTCAATTTGTACTTTTCACTGCTTGTTATTAGGGCAGTAAAGTCAAGGAGGAAGTTCCTAACAATTTCAGTTGACGTTCTTACATGTGATTTTGTATCTGAAGGGCAAGAATGGCACATTGGTCCGGTTTCATAATAGGATACTAAGGTACACCGAGTAGTACTTCCGGTACCCTATCCAATGGGTACGTTGCGGCATGGTCCCCGGGCGAAAAGAGGCAGGGAGGGGCGTAAAGCTAACCACCTCCATCTCGTGCCGAGGTCAAGAATGGTGGACTTGGGGCCGCGCCATAGCTCAAGCGGTTAGTCGCTGACTTCCTACCGCGGCGGCCCGGGTTCGATCCCGGGTCTGGTCAAGTGGGATTTGCTGTGGACAAGTGGCGCTGGGGCAGGGTTTCTCCGAGTACTTCAGTTTCCCCTGCCAATCGTCATTCCACCAATTGCTCCACAATCGTCCTCACCTATCATCTGTGGCTGGTACAATAGGCCAGAAGTGGCCGGAGTACAAGGGACTTAGTTAGTCCCATCCCACTAGCAATAAAAAAAATATATACCTGCACTCCCCTATACATCGTAAGTCTTCAAGCCGTGGTGCTTAATTAACTAAGCCACAGGAACAACTTTTTTTTTCTTGGCACTACAGCCCCAGTGGGCCTAGGTCTGCCTCCATGAAACTCTCCGTTTCACTTCGGTTTACTAGATCTTAGACATTCGGTAGGACTCCTTGGGCGGGTGATCAGCTCGTTGCAAGGCCTCTACCTGTACACAGCCACAGAAAAACGCCACAAACATCCATGCCCTGAGTGGGATTCGAACCCACGATCCCGGCTTCCGAGCGAGCGAAGACAGTGCATGCCTTAGACCGCTCGGCTACCGTGACCTGCCAGGAACAACTCTACCCAACTCTACTTATCTATTTCCTTAACTTCTAATATCTTGGTAGAATGTTCAGATTTAAATAGTCAAATATGCTGCTACCTGCTAGCCCACCTCTCCACAACCTTCCCCTCTCCTCTCTACTGATATCCCATGTAACCACTCTCCCATCTCTTCCTGCAGTTATACAGCTGGGTTTGTTCTCGACATTAGTCTGTTTGCACCTGCTCACGTTGGTTCTTCGCCTGCGGATTTTCTTCTTTTTTCTTCTACCCTGAAGATGGAGGCGATACGTTCCTCCGAAACGTCGGTTAACACAATATCTACACGGCGCGATATCCTAGAAGACTGCTTACTTCAAATACGATCTGTTGCACTGTTGGTAGAAATGTATGAAACTTAAAATTAGTTAATGTTGGTGTGAATAGATGGCAGCAGAGGTCGTGTGCTATATGTTCTGTACCCTGACGGCGGATTCTTGAAGTAACAGGATTACAGTTATTACACATCCAGACGGCTATTGACCCCTGGTAACAAAATTTACAATCTATTAATGAGTAAGATACCCTAACGAAAACAACCATTCAGTCCTAAAACAAGAATACGACTCAATAACTACACGCAGAGTACTGAAAAAACTCTTACATTTCCTGACTCATTAAATCGAAGTATAAAGCACCAACAGCGGTTTCACATGTGATCTAATTAATAGCTGACGTAAATGCGAAAAATGAATTCCTTATTTATTGTACCGAAAACCTCTTTAAATCCTCAAACTTATAGCCAGTATTCGTTATGAAGTTATGATGTAAATTAATGCAGTAGGTCAATAATGGCGTGAGGTTTGTATACAGCTGATTACTGGTTTTCAAGGTCAATATAAGTAACACTTAAACACTTAATTTTGTTGTGTAGCTAACGAATAATATTTGTAATATGTAACGCATCTATTACAACTACATTAATGTTCTGACATTTGTAAACAGATTTATTTAGAACTTTAAATGTATGTTTATTCCGGAACTTCGCCACTCGGGTATACCAATCGTCTTGCTTCTATTGCTGTTACACGTGTAAGCTGGTGTTTGATCGAAGTTTCTAGTGTTTAAATCCGGTGACTACTGGTGCGACTGCGATTGAGTCTGGTAGTGTTTAATTGTAAAGTTATTTAATAAAATGGCACTAAATTCTTCGTGGGAAGACCTGGATTTAACAAAAGATGAAGTGGAGAAACTTGGCGCTGCTTTAAAAAAGGAGGAGTTCAGGAAGCTTCTGATGGAATATGCTGAAGAAGTTAGTGACCCAGAAAACAGGAGACAGTACGAGAAAGAAATAACAGAACTTGAGAAGGAGAGAGGAATTGATATTTCATTCATTAACCCAGAACCGTGCTATGTGATAAAATCTAGTGTTAATGGCCAGAAAAAGGCATTTATAAACATTTGCAAGAACGAAAAAGTTGGCAAGCCGACATCAGAACCCATGGCAAAATCAGGTTCTCGAGGTTTGAATTGGTCTCTTCCATTCACTCAGGCACCTCCCAGAGACGATGTTGATAAAAATGGTAATCGGTGCTCTGTGTTTGATGTTGTGTTCCATCCAGATACATATCGCTTGGCAGAAAACAATGCACAGTTCAAGAAAATGTTGAACAACACTGCACTGGATGCTGTTGAAGATAACTTTGGCATACAGCTTGACAGAAAAAATATAAAATTTCCAAAAATGAAATATAAGGGTTCTCCTAGACCAACAGTTATTAGAAAGAAGATGGAAAATGCTTCTGTTGAGGGGAATGAATTTTTGATACCCAACAGTGTTTACCCCTACCGAGTTCCTGTTGAAAACACGGAAAAACAGACAAAAAATGCCAACTTCAATAAAAGATCCCAAGAAGATGAACTCAAAAATAATTGCAGCACTGATACACCATACACTACTCCAAAATATGTAATGAAACACAGGCAGCCCATAGATATACAAGATTTTACAAATGATAGGGATGCAAAGATGAATTCAACTGTACCAAAGGAACTGGTAATTGAAGTACAGCTGCCTCTGTTGAATTCATCTGCTGACATAGTTCTAGATGTAACACAGAAATCTGTATCACTTCTAAGTGAAAAACCAGCAAAGTACAAACTTGATTTGTTACTTCCATACACTGTAGATGAAGAAGCAGGAACTGCAAAGTTCGACCAAAGTTTGCGGAAGTTGGTGATAACCCTTTTGGTTAAACACCATAGTGATGTGCGTCTGAGTGATGTTGGGCGAGATGACAGTGGTGTGGAGAGCGATATGGGTCCTCGAACCCCTGAGTCAAGTAGTGATGAAGGTGATGGGAATGTTATTAACCAAAACTCTGTAGTAGAAATTCAAACAGCTGAGATAACGTTACCAGACATTGCAGCTGATGAGGCATATCGGACTATGAGCTCAAATGAAAACAAATTCTTGAATCCAGATGTGCATTATTTATTTCCTGCATTTACTTGCAATGTTGTGGACAGTCTTGTTTCATTTACATTACATGTTAAAAATGTGGAACCCGAATCAATTGAGTATTGTTTCTTGTCTGAAGACTTTTGTGGTGTTCATGTTTGGTTCACATCAGTTGGGGCAGGTTTCTTCCCCCTCTATTATGCTTTCTGTTTGAAGTTCCCATCTTCTGTTTCTATATCCAAAGAATCATTCAGTGCTGAAGCTTGGGATAACAATGTTATATTGCAAATGCAGTTGAAATTTTGTGATACAAATGCGGCAGAATACTATGCTGGAGTGGATGGTACTTCCATGGTGAAATATTATCTCCCAGAACCAGCAGCAATTGCCAGAAAATTGGAGAACTTAAAGGCAAGTGCACCAGTTACTTTCCCATTTGAATAGTCGCATCATCAAAAGGTTCAGATTTTTCTTTTGCGGTAATATTTCAGAACTCTTTTCAGTTGATGGTACTCGTGGGTCTCAAGAGACTTACGAGCCAGGCAATTACCATGATGCCATACACTTCATTCAAAGTATGAGATTATTGAAGGGCTGAAACAAGGGATGCATGATAGCTCATTGATGGTCATTGTGCAATGTTTACCGCCTATGGAAATTGATTCAGAGAGTAAGACTTCACATACCCCTTTTCAGTGGTTACTTAATTATTATCTCAGACTTACATTATATACACCAACTTCCCTGCTGACACACGTGATACCATGAATTTTCTACAAAATTAATTTGTTCTCATGTGAAATTCATGTCACAATTTTACCTTACATGAATTTTTTTTAGAATGCTTCTATCCCATTAGTGAGGGATTCATTGTTTTATAAACATGCCAAGCTGTAGAGAGTTTTTATTTTAAATAAAACTTTTTTTGTACTAAGATCAGAGAAAGTTGTCAGATGGTATTTTAGTCCCTTTCAGCCTGTGTTTAACAGTGTATGATGTTTGACATATTCCCTAGTGGTTCATGTACCTCTGGTTTAGAACTTCTGTTTTATGGTTAAAACAAAAATCAGCTTGTTGGATTTGAGGGTCTTACAGTGCTGACTGTGAAAGTTACAGTCTTCTGGGTTGTAATACCATGTAGCACATAGAGCCTGTATCTTTTTTTCTTGGGGTGGGGGTGAATTATTTCCTCCATTTTCAGAATCAAAGAGTAAGTCAAACAAGAAACCAGCAGAAGTGAATGGCAGAAGTTTTCTGTGAACTATTTGACCTTACAACCCAGGAAATTATAATTTATCCCCTTCATCATAGTTATCACCTTATTCTGACCATTCTGACATTTGTTGAAATACCCTTTGTAGCTTTCTTCTCATATGGTATATGCATTCTTTCATGCTCTCAATTTCTTCCAAAAATATCTTTCCTTCTAACACCATCTCCAATTTTGAGTCATCATTTAAATTATCAGGTCATGCTTATGTATTTTGTAAGGCTGAGCGTTTCATCTTGAAATGCAGTTTTGGGCATTTTGAGGCTTTGTTCGCAAGTTAAGTAGAAAGGCTGAATATATCTAAAACTTTGTGAGGACAGTATATTAATACAGTTATCGTGTTTCTGGACATTATCCATCACCCTGTTTTTATATAAAAAACACAACATTTAGGAGACTGGGTTCTGTCTCGCACATAGCACATAGGTAGGTCTCATGTGTGGAGGTTCGTATTGTTTTTAATTTTTGTCTTAACTCTTGCAGATAGTTTGTGCTGTGCTTGGTTTATGTATTCTGTTTTGTGTTGGTGCTTGTATCCGGAGATCAGAACTAGCTCTATCAATTGGACCAAACTGAGTAGGTTTCACCTGAAGATGGAAACAGAATCCAGTCTCTGAACCACTGTGTGTTTTAAATAAGAACAGGACAATGGATAATGTGCAGAAACAATAATTGTCTTTTCATAACTTTTCAAGGTCACAGTATGCATATGTGGTGGAACTGTGATTTCAAAGTGTCCCTCAAGGGCTGGGATGTGCAAGAGTGTATCAGTGGAATGGCTACCTGTGGAAACCATAGTGAGAGATGAAAACAAATTTTTCCATTGAATTTTTGATGGTCAGTCATATCCTCCACGTATTATAGAAACAAGAGAGCATACGCTCAGTCATTGTTGCACGTTATTACATTTTGCCTCCATCTGTAGGGTTGAAGGGTAAGTCATGCAAGTATGCAGCAGGCAGTGTTAAGTTAGGCTTGTTTGGGTCCAGTCATGTAAGGTCAATGTAGCTTATGGGGGAATGCAAACTGTATTCAACACAATAACTGTGTTTCTGGACATTATCCACTGTCCGGTTTTTATTTAAATTGCACAGAGTTTTGGAGACTGGATTCTATCTCTGGCTTCAGGTGAAACCTACTCAATTGGACCCAATTGATAAAGCAATAACAACAGACCGTTATGTAGGAATATCCATAACAATGAGTATCATAGCTTAACAATGCAATAACAGTGGGTCATTGCATAGGAATTGGCAAAACAACAAGCACGTTTCCCCGGAGACGAAAGACAACAGAAGGTCGTTGGATGACAATGGCAAAACCAAACTGTTGAGAACGGTGTTCTGGAAGTGGTCTGCATAAGGCCTATATAAGGGGATGAACACACCAGATGAGTTGACTTTGAGTTGAAGTCTAGCAATTGCCGAATTCCGTTGTATCGAGCTTCGAAGTAAGACGACACCAAGATTGATGCCACAAGAAGAATTGCAATACGGAAAGTGATAATAATTGTCGTCGCTTGTGTAAAAGTGAGCGATCAATAAACATATTCGTTCCGATCCGAAGACCCACGTTATATTTATTCGTGTTGCGTCACACAGCAGACATGTTTCACTACCATCATCACCCACTTTTAGATCTTATTCTGGAAAGACAGCTGGATCAAATAAACAATAATAAAGAGTCTACCTACTTACCTACCTCTCTACCTACCAACCACTCGGTGGTACAGCCCTAGTTGAGCCTTGGCCTCCTCTACAACCAGTCTCCACTGCTCTCTATTCCTCATCTTCTCTATCTTTGGGGTGAATAAAGAGTCTGGAATACCCTATTTTTTCAGTGAAAGATGTCACTCTAATACCAATGGAAACACTGCTGTTTATTGCTACCATCTTTCGGTTCTGTCATAAGAGTAGTTTTGCATTTGGTTTCCATGGAAACAGCGTGGTGACAGTCCAACAATGTTTTCCTTGCGTATATTAATTATGTACAGATAATGACGTCAAGATTGGAGTGTAAGGTGTTACCCATTGAATTTTATTTAATACATTTACACCATTTACATAATCACTAGCTTGTTATCTCCATTACTGAATCATAATCCACCTTTCTTCACCTCACATGCTTTGTAAACACATGGCTGTCTGCTAATACCTAACACAGTCTCACTAATACCATTATCAGAGTTATATGCATTGCAAGCAAAATGTTTTCCTTTATTCTTTATACAAGGTGGAGCAGAGGAAACACATTTTTTCACATAATAACTTCGTTGATTTTCAAGATAAAACCTTTTTAATTGCACAAAAAATAAGGTATTTTAATGCATTTTTAACTTACATTACGTACAGAAAATAATGTCAGTCAGATGACGCCCTTCTTGCTGGACACACATTNGAAAATAATGTCAGTCAGATGACCCTTCTTGCTGGACACACATTTGGAGTCTCTTCTCAAAATTCTGCATTGTATTCTCCAACATGTCTTCTGGGACAGCTGCGATTTCTTGATGAATGGAGAGTGTCAGCTCTTGGATCGTTCGTGGTCTGTTCATGTACACTTTTGCCTTGAGGTATCCCCACAAAAAGAAGTCACAAACCAATAGATCAGGGTAGCACAGGGGCCAAGAAACATCACTGAAACGGGAGATTACATGTTGGAGGAAAATGCGTCGAACGACTTCCATCGATGTTGCAGCATCCAGAACTCCTAAGGCATCGGGTAAACATGAAGCAAATGTGGTTCCAACAGGATGGTTCCACAGCTCACATGGCAAGAGCATCAGTGGAAGTTGTTCGATGCATGTTCCCCCAACATGTGATCTCCCATTTCGATGATGTTTCTTGCCCCTGCGCTCCCCTGATCTATCGGTTTGTGACTTTCTGCGGGGATACCTCAAGACAAGAGTGTACACGAACAGACCATGAATGATCCGAGAGCTGACACTCTCCATTCGTCAAGAAATCGCAGCTGTGCCAGAAGACATGTTGGAGAATGCAATGCAGAATTTTGAGGAGAGGCTCCAAGTGTGTGTCCAGCAAGAAGGATGTCATATGACTGACATTATTTTCCATACATAATGTAAGTTAAAATGCATTAAAATACCTTCTTTTTTGTATAATTAAAAAGGTTTTATTTTGAAAATCAACAGAGTTATTCTTCTGTGAAAAACGTGCATTTCATCTGCTCCACCCTATACACCCCATAATAATAATAATTGTATATAGAATTTTACAGTGATACAAGGAGTTAATCTTACGGAATATCAAGCTCTTTGTAATAAATTTCTCACTCACATTAAGTTACTTGGAGGAGCCGGGATAGCTCAGTTGGTACAGCAACCGGCTATGAGCTGGAGTACTGGGGTCGGAGTTCAAGTCCCAGTAGGGACACAAATTTTCTCTTCTCCACGTCGTCCAGACCAGCTTTGGGGTCCACCCAACCTCCTATCCAATGGGTACTGGAGGCTGTTTCCCCGGGGATAAAGCCACCAGGTTGTGAAGCTGACCACTCACCTCCAACTAGTGCTGAGGTCAAGAAAATGTGGATCTATACATCCACTCCCCCATACACCTGCATGGTGTAGTGCTTAATTAGTGACACACAGGGACAACTTTATTTTTACCTTATTAAGTTACTCGTCCCTTTACACAATGTATAGTATAAAGGTAAAAGGGGAAGCCATTTCTGTAACAGGCCATGGAGATCCATGCAGTTGTGAGATGTAGAGGCTTCCACATTTTCTAGACAATCAACTCACAGATGGCAATGAGGTTGTAAGCCTTACATGCTGGCTGCCCTTTACTCCCAGGAAGATTCCTGGCACTCAGTTCTGTTAGAGGCTGAGTTGACCTCAGGGCCATGGTGTGGATGGAAGGATTAGGTCAATTAAAATATCCAGTTCATCAGAAATTGAACCTGGGACCTTCTGGCTTGTAGCATAGTGCCTCAACCAACTACGTTACCACATGCCCATGAGTTATGTTATTAATTAAAAAATGTACAGAAGTAAGTGGTCATGGCCCAATTTGAGGTACAGTCCCAGCATTTACCTGGAGTATCTTAGGACAACCACAGACATCAAGCAGGATAACCACTCTCTGGACTGAGACCCAGCTGCATACCAGGACACTGCTGTTCATCCCAGCTACACCAGATTTTTCCTTTTATTGTGCACGCAGGATCTGCATTAGCTTTATTTCTGTAATCAACTGTACTTGGCATAACATGTGATGCTGTAACAGATCTTAAAGGTTATTAATTAAATATCAACACATTTTGTTTATCTGTTCATTCATATATTTCATTTAATGTGTTTGTTTGTATGATTCAGTGGATGGGTTAACTTGCTACAGCATCTCACCCAGTCGTTGCATTATCCCAGCCATACACACTTCATTTGATTGTTCTTGAAGCCATTTCATTGTAGGTTGAGCAGAATCAAAAATACAAAGTTGTCCATGTCCCATTTTATTTACTTTGTTTTGACACACCACCTAGGCCAAACTGTGAAACTGGCCACATATGCAGATACAGTATGGACCATTTGCAGGTGGCAGTTTAATCTGCACCCATTGATGTCAAGGCCTCTGCAGAATTGTTCTCTCATATATGTTCTCCATAGACCAAAAACAACTGGAGAATGTGAAATGTTTTAAATATTTGGGTAGCTTGTTAACAGATGATGGAAGGTGTACGTGTGAAATTAAATCCAGGATTGCCATGGCAAAAGCTGCATTTAACAAGAAGAAGAATCTTTTTACCAGAAAATTGGACTTAAATTTGAGGAAGAAACTAGTGAAATGCTACATTTGGAGCATAGCTCTGTATCAGGCTGAAACATGGACACTTAGGGCAGTAGACGAGAAACATCTGGAAAGTGTCGAAATGTGGTGTTGGAGAAGGATGGAGAAGATCAGTTGGACCGATTATGTGAGAAATGAAGAAGTGTTAATTAGAGTCAGTGAGCAGAGGAATATACTACATGAAATAAGAAAACGGAAGGCTAATTGGATTGGTCATGTTTTACGCAGAAACTGCCTTCTAAAAGAAGTCATCAAGGGAAAGATAGATGGGCGGATAGAAGTGACAAGAAGAAGAGGAAGAAGATGTAAGAAAATGCTGGATGACCTTGGGGACAGAAGAGGATACTGTCATTTGAAGGAGAAAGCTCTAGATCGCATTAAGTGGAGGAATTGTTTTGGAAGAGACTGTGGACCTGTCGTCTTGACAGATTACTGATGATGATGATGATGATGATGGTGATGATGATGATGATGATGATATGCTCTCCATAGTTACCTGCTTTCGCGTGTATCCTCTGTTATCAGCTCTCGTAATACAGCTGTCAAATTTTATCTCTGTAGGTGTGCCCACAAAATTGTTTCAACTGGCAAGGAGAGGGAATATACCTAAATGTTTGTGTGTGTATAGATTCAGAATAGGTATTCACAATGTTGTTTGATAGTAACTAGATAAATCTTTGGGACTCACTCACTCATGTAGCTGAGCCCTTCTTGAGAAGCTGCCAGTTGTGCAGCTACTCAAGAACTTCCCAGCATTTTATGGAACCTGAAGGTTCATTACCATGTTCACAAGAGCCCTCCACTGCTCCCTAACCTGAAATTCTTGGGACAGAGGTCTTATTTAGAACTTAATAAGCCTCCCAGCTAGTCAGAAATCCACCCTGCATTTTATGGAACCCAAATGCATGTTCACATCAGTGCACACAGGGGCCCCTGTTCTCCCATCCTGTCTCCTTGTGATCTCTTCTGATGTGATTGAAGTTTCTCTTCAATTCAGATTACCTGACAAAAACTTTGTACACATTTCTGAAATCACATTCCCCAACCATCTCATCCTCTTTGATTTGTTCATCCTAATAATATGTGATGGAGAGTACAGATTATGAAGCTCCTCAGTATGTAATTTTCTTCATCCTCCAGCTAGTTATTCCCCCTTATGTCCATAATTCTTTATCATTGTACAGTAATTTTTTTAAAAGTGATTTAAGTGTAATGTATATACATTCTGCTTATGCCAAGTGTCTGTGCAAATGTCAGTAAAAAAGAAAAGGTAAAACTATCCCTGCAACAGGCCATGGAGGCCCATAGGGTTGTGAGACATCGAGGCTTCCACATTTTGTAGACAATCGAATCACAGAAGGCAGTGAGGTTGTCAGCCTTACACTTCAGCCACCCTTTACCTTCAGGAAGATGTCTGGTACTCGTGTTTTAATAATTTGTAATGTGTTGTTTTCAGATCGAAGCTCTTGATAATACAGCTGAGAATCATATGACTGTAGAGATAGCTGCATATAGCGAAAATGAAGTTGTTATTGAAATATCTCCAGATGGAATGAATAAAAAGGATGATGGTGCTGGTGATGAAGATGATGACATTGATAGTGAAAGCAAAACTCATGGTTCTGAAACAGCAGTTTGTGCTACTCCAAATCAGCATTGTACCAATGCGAGCATTGAAAATTGCCAAAATGCTGAACCAGTTTCTGAGTTGCATGGTATTCACACCAGTTCACAGAAATGTAGGTCAATGTCTGAATCAAGCGGCGATGAATTTGTAAGTATTCATAAGAGTCAACGTTGTTGTTCTGCCACTCCCTCAGTTAGTAAACATGGCTACTGGAGCCGTTTTACCCAGAGTAGTATGGCTGGAACATGAAGCTGACTGTGCACGTTCATCTAGTGATCAGTTTATGACTGAGTGGATCCTTTCACCTTGACATCTTCACCACTTATTAGGCATGCTGAACTCCTGTATACTATATACATTATATGTATACTGACATATTAGGTTATGTTAGATTGCATTAATTTGGTTAGGGTGTGTTGGGTTATGTTTAGTTACTGTACACCAAAAAAAGTGCAGATAGGTTAGTGTTTAAAAGTGTAAGGTAATAGGTAAAGTTGTCTGTGTGCTTCACTAATGAAGCACTATGCCGTGAAGGTGTAGTGAGGTCTAGATGTTTAGAACTGTGTTTTCTTGACCTCAGCACTAGTTGGAGGCAAGTGGTCAGCTTCATGCTTCAGTTGTTTTACCTCCCCGGTACCCACTGGATAGGAGGCTGGGTGGGCCCCAGACCCAGTCTGGAGGACATGGAGAAGGAAATATCCTTGACCCTACCAGGACCCAAACTCTGACCCCTCTGCCATCCAGCTCACAGCCAGTTGCTATACAAACTGCATTTTCATGGTCATTTAGAGTTAAGATTGCTTGTAGTCAGATTGTGACTGCTTGTAGTCAGAAGTGGAATCTGTTGCATTCATGTAGGGACAGATAGAGACAGAGGTATGGCTGGGATGGAGTTCCCAAGAAAACCCATCCCTAATTCAGTAAGAGAGGAGAGCACTGTGTCAACAGCAAAGTGGTTGAGAGAGAAAGCAAAGCACAGAGGATCTGATGGCAAATTGGGGTGGGGGGGAAGAGGAAGGAGACCCATAGAAGGGCAGTGGCTGTGTCCACTGGGCCGAAAAGCTGAACCTGTAAATGTGTGTTTGTGTAGGTACTGTTTGTAGAAATTTTTAATATTTAAAATGGGAAAATATTTTTGTGTGTAACAAATCACCCAAAATTGATAAATCTTTTTATACTCGTACTTAGTGTGTTTGCTTTGTGCACATATTTAGGTATGTTTACAGTGTAAACAAGTTTCATCCATATCTGTAGAGCCATTATTTACCTGTTTTTTAAAGCAATTTGTCGTGCCTCCCAGCATTTATAATTGTGTTTCTACAAGTTTCTTTCTTTTTTTCTAGAGCTTCAGCCCCAGCAAGAAGGGAATTTTGAAAAATAATGGCCGAGTGGGCCGTAGTCTCTCTGAATCAAGCATGGATGACTACATTTGGTCATCATCCGTGGACATGGTAACCCAGTCTGGTTCAGAGTCTTGCATTCCCGAAGAGGCTGCAGAAGAGGAGAGAGAAGCCAAGAAGACTGTACGGTTCAACGAAGTTGTTTCACAAAAGACTTACAGGTTCGTTAATTTTCTTTCTGTGTTTTTGTAGGAAGCCAATCAACATTATTGACTGGGTGTTTTGTCTGTTATGAATCTAAATGCCTTCTGTAGCCTGCACTATATGACCTATTATCAGTATAGTGTAGGCTCTGTTTTTGTTGGTGCAGGCCTCCCACCACAAATTGTCTTTCTCACTTAACCTGGAAGGTTCACTAGTACAGACCTCTTGGTCAACAGGATAGATAAATCCTTCTTTCCATCCTTAAGTCTGTTTGTATATATATGAAGGTAATGTAATGGTGAGATGAAAGCTCTGAAATTACAGAATCTTGGGTTACCATAGCAGTAAGTTGTTGAGCATTAGTAAATAGCATGAACACAAGCTACAAGAATATAGTAGGTCACAAGTGAGCAAGCAGCCTTTGTTTTGGTGTATGGTATCTGTTGTTTGATAATATAATATTTAGATGGGGTATGTGAAGTGTAGTATACCGTATAGAAGAGACAGTTTACAATTGACTATTTGTATGTGTTGTTCGTGGGAGACGGCATTAAGTATTGGCTGTGACTCGTCATTTGATACTGTATAGGACTATGAAGGAGTGTGAAAGAGAACAGGAAGTTATTACTAGTAGAAAGCTTGTGTGTGACAAGTGACAGACCTTCCATTGATCTCTCGATGGGTGTTAACACAAGTAAATATATTATTTTTATTGCCTGACCATATCTGTGCAATCTGCATTCCTAATTTACGCTCATATGAAATTAAATATGTATTCTGAAATGCAAATTTCAGAACAAACTCAAGCATACTGGGTCAGCGTAAGAAGAACCAACGTAAAACTCGGAACAAGAGACGTTGTCAAGAGCGTCGTGCGAGTGAGAGTGAGAATTCTGAAGGGGAAGCAGAAAAGGAACGGGAGAGAGAAATAAAGACTGGTGAAGAAGAGCAGAAGAGTGAAATTGGCTCAGAGGATAACATTCAAAGCAGCAGTAGCAGTGGGGAATCTAGCCCAGCAGTTGAAGAAAGCAGAGAGCCTAATGAGGCAGACAGTAATGCAGGCGTATCATCTTGTGCCGAGTCACAGCTGCTTAATGCTGGAAATTCATCTAAACAGTCACCCAGCAAAGGAAGGAGGAAGAACCGAAAGGGGGCAGTCCCATTGGAACCCATTGCTGCTGAAGTTCATCAGGTGGAATTTGGGAGCGATTTGATATTCGATCTTGACATGTAAAATTGCTGTCAAGTCAAATATTAGTACTGCCTGAATATGTACCTCGTTTCATTATTAATTGTATATGAGAAACTATGGTTCTCTATGGCTTTAATTAGAAATGTTTAGCTGCTAGTCGTGGTATTAAGTCCCTTGGTAAATGTTTTTATTTTAGAACAAGACTTCAGGAGATACTTAGAATATTTTGAATTGTCTTTGCCAGAATTAAGACATATTTTGTTTACTAGAGGTAAGATGCTTGCCATTCTAGTAACTTAGCAATGAGCACTTAGCTGTAAGTACAATATTGACTCACATATATTTTTCCCACCTTCCAGTTTGTGATATGCACACAATCTGTACGTCAAGAATTGTTTTCGTGTTAGAAAATGGAGTTCATTATATGCATCATAATGCATAAATTTCATTGCATAAAATCAATGTTTAAACATTATATGTTATGAAATATACTTTTCTTTCTTTTATTTACATTTTGGCATTATGAATTTTAATAATGCCTTAACATGTTCATATTTACATATTCATATTTCATATCTCAGTGAACTGATAACATTACTTCCTCAGAGGACCTGTCATAGGCATCTTAAAAGAAGGTGACCTATATGAAATTGTAATGACAGAGAGAATATTGAAAATTGTTTTAAATGTCCTATAATTACCACCCTTCACATAATGATTCAGAACTGTGGTTTCCTGTTGCTCTTCCAAATCCAGTTAATGAGCAGATGTGTTTTTGCAGGATTTGAGGTTCTCACAATGATGGTTATGCGGCATTCTGCCTTCTGGGAATATAACACTATGTAAAGGTAAAAAGTTAAAAGTTGTCCCTTTGCCTAACTAATTAAGCACTATGCCATAAAGGCATATGGGGGATTGGACCCATAGATCCACATTTTCTTGACTTTGGCACTATTTGGAAATGAGTGGTCATCTTCACGCCCTGGCCAATTTATTCACAGGGATAGAGCCCCCGGTACCAATTGGATAGGAGGCTGTGTGGGCCCCAGAGCCGGTCTGGATGATATGGAGAAAAGAAAATTTTTGGCCCTACTGGGACTCTGACCCCTCAGTCATCCAGCCCATAGCCAGTTGGTATACTGACTGTGCTATTCTGTCTCCCAAGGAGTTCATACAAGTCAACTGATGTTTCAGAGGAATATGTCACCTCAGTCTTGAGGGCTAAAGAATGTTTGTTATGTACACCCCTGTATATATTCAAAACAAGGTGTGTAAAAATTTATGTTCTGATATATTCATTTTGTTAAAATTGCTTAAATTTTAGCTGATAACATGGTGTTTAATGAATAAGTTGCTAGTTTCCCTCATCTAGCATGAAAGTAGCATTCCAAATTGTAACAACATTTCATTACTTTTGGTTTATGGCCCTGTTTATCTGATTTTGCTTAATAAAGCAGTCCCATTCAGTATAAATTTTACATTTTGAACTATGAAGTAACAGGTTACATAGTCTAATTTTAACATTAAGATAACTGCCAAACTGGTTTGTAGCTGTATTAAAATTGTTTGTGAAAACCTGGTTCTTTAGAAACATAATCATATATATACTTTTTTCAGTAGAAACAGCAGGTTGGTCTCTCAGTAATGCTGTACTCCTATGTTCAGGTGGTGTTCAGTTTGAATCTTGGCCAGGGCACTGACTATCCTGACTGAAATGTTTCATGGTTTCTTAGTCCCTCTAGGCAAATACCAGGATAGTGCCCCAGTTGGGTCAGCGACTTGCTGCTAATCCACCAGTCATTGTATCATTTAATGCCATATAGTCTAGATACTGATACAGTGGTGTGCCGCGCATGGAAGCAAGGGAAGCATTGCTTCCGTAGTTAAGAAATGAAAAGAAAAGAAGCCATATATAAATAATTCAGTTTGAATAATAAGGATGTGAATATTGTCATCTTAACATTTTAGCGTATGTTCCTGTTAAAAGGCCACATGCCTACGCCTCCCTTCCCCTGCTTGGTGGGCTGGACCAAGTTTCCTTTCGTTAATCTTCGTACGAATTCATCTCGCACAAAGTGAACAAGGGAAGCATGTTTTGGTTTGCTGGCTCTAGGCGTGTGATGTGGAAGTGAAAGATTGTGTTCTCTCGATGGTTATATGAAAATTAACTGTTTATGTGTGATTTCAGTCTTGTTGGGTGTTATAGGTAACATTAAGTTTTATTAAAATATTGTAGATGCATATTTAGATGGCATAAGATTGTATATGTGATCGAATTTTGACGCATCAGAAATAAGCTATCCGCTTTTAAGGGAAGCAAGTGTGATATTGCGGTACAAGGGCAGTGGAGTGATTAGACTACACGCACAGGGCACAGCTATAATGAATGCTGGCAGACAACATGACTGCGACTGTGCAATCAAAAGCCTTTTAAAACGGGGGTTTAATAGCAGGGACTTTTCTGAAAAGAAAATAATTATAGAAAGAGGACAACTGACATGCAAGTTACCAGAACTTAAAGCACAAACCAAATTATGTGTGAGGAAATTTAATTCGGAACAGTATTCCAAAACAGAATTGCTATCCACTTGCCATAATATATGAAAATTGTTTTGTTGGCCATGCCTATTGTTTCTCAATGAAAAAATGTATGGAACAAAACTGGGTTTGGTGATATCAACAACCTTCATAAAGCATTGAAACGACATGAGAACTCTCAGACTCACATTATTTCAAAAGTGCAACTTGTTATGTTCGGGAAATCTCGAATTGACTGTCAACTTGACAATCAAAAGCACCTGACGATACTACAGCATAATGAAAGTGTGAAAGAAAATAGAGAAATAATGAAATGATTGATATCATCTGCCATTTAAGAAAGAGGCAACTTGCCCTCCGTGGTCATGACGAAAGCGTGGATTCTATCGACCGAGGTAATTATGTAGAATTAGTTCACTTGTTGAGGAAATATGCTCATAAACTCAATGTTCACCTTGAGAACAGTACAGTATTTACAGGTTTATCGAACAGAATACAAACAGAAAATAGATTTGGTCTTCAAATAAATTTTGGTGGGTTGATTGCTATCAGTTCGTTTATTCGATACCACTGCTTCCCTTACCAAAAATAGTACTGCACTCCACTGTACTGATAGTGTCATAACATAATCGACAATGAAAATGCAGGCACCCAAACTCTTATGAATAGTTACAGTCTTAGGGATAGTTTGTAAAGCAAAATTTCATAATGTAAATCCATATTTCCCATAGATGCAATGTTATAATTTGGGCTTATATTCCTCAAAGACTTAAGACAAAAGTAGATATAACCTATTTTATTGCCTGAAATGAAACATAAGCATTAGAAACGTACTAGGATGTTGTTATTGTTAAACACAGCAGAATGTCATGCAAGATGCATAGCATAGAGTAAGGCAAACTGACTGAGCAATGTCATGTTTATTTTTTGTGCAAGGGATTTCAGATGAGTTCACATTCATATGAGAAGCCAGGCAGAGGCGCTGCACTTCTCTGTTTAAATCTTGATAGAGCAAGGACTAGCTGTATGGTAGGAGACATTTTGTAATTCATGTTTCTATTTGTATTTACCTGAATTGTCAAATTTTAAGTGATATGAGTTTCACATGTGCACATGCTGCATACATTTAGATGAAACTGTTCCTCTGTCTTTCCATAATGGTTTGGTTCTTTGGGAAAGCACTGATATGTGTAATAAATCTTTTTTTTAATAAACTGTGGTACACTTTTTATTTCAGAAAAGAGAGAGATTTCCAAGCAGGTTTCACCCATTCCTCCAGTGTTTGCTTTGCATTCTGAAGGTTCTTGCTTCCGATCATATATTGAGCAGGAGCGTCTGGTTTATTGGTCTTTTATGCAACTTCTCAGCTCCCCCCAGAAAACGGTAACAGACTGATACCTTGTATCAGGGCTGGAGATAGGTAGATTAGTGTAGATGCTGCCTAAATAATTCCAGAACTTTTTCTTTTTAAGAAGCTATTTCCAGTGTCTTCCGTATTCCGTATTGAGGGGGTGGGTTTCCCCATGCACTTAGACCGGTTACTAGTCCATTGTGCATCCTCCTTTAATTTCTACTGTCTCCATACCCTACCAATACTGGTGCTTACTATCAGCCCCTTTCTGCCAGCGAGGTTCCAACCTCTTACTGGCAGTGGTATCTAATAGTTAGTCCCTTTCTGTCAGCGAGGTCATCCCTCCTCAGGCAGGGGTTCCTAGTCCTTTTCTGCCAGCAAGTTTTCTACACTCTACTTGGCAGTGGTATCTAATACTTTAGTCCTTTTCTGCCAGAGAGGTCCCCCCTCCTCTGGCAGTGGTACCTGATACTTCCCCCATCTATCGGAGGAATTGGAAACTAGTTGGGCGGGAAACTTGGCCTAATTTTGCTCAGAGGTCTCCTAGAGACATGAGGTTCTTTTACATGCCGTAAATCTACGACATGGGACCCACGGCTTAAAGTCCCTCCCGGAGGACTTGTTCCCTGAATTTTTCCGCCCTTAAAAATTCCACGACCTCCGCCGGGGTTTTGAACCCGCGTACCTTGAGTCATGAGGTGGGAACGTTACCCCTAGACTACGGAGGCCGCTTTTCCAGTGTCTTAATGTAGATGTTTAATGAACTCACAGATCTGAGCAACAACGCACTTTTCACCTGCCTGCACTCTAAGAATTCCCTTTGTAATATTTATTCATCATTCCCTGGGCATTTCAGTATCTATCCCAAATACTGTAGAGTGATGAGTGAAAATAATCTTAAATTGCTTAAATGTGTGTTTGTAAGCAAATTTTATGGCCTACAGTTATGGTAGGGCAAGGTTTAAGGGCCATATGACATGGATAGAAACAATATAAACAGTACCTTGCCCTAATGAACCAGGACAATTAATACTGTAATCTGCTTATTTTGTAACGTGGATGCATTGGTATTGTGATGTACAGCTTCTCAGTGACACCTGATTTAGCCCTCTGAAACGCTGTAGTGTGCATTCTTTTTTTTTTTCCTGTGGGTGTGTGTTTTCTGTCCATGATGCCCCAATAGGAGTGTCTCAGCAGCTTCAGACAGTAGAATTATTAATTTGTTTGTATAAAATGAAAACAGTGTGAGGATTTCAAATTGGTTTTACTTGTTGCAACAGGCGAGCTTTTGTGAACTTGATGATAAAACTTCATTTTTTGTAAAAGCAGGGAATACTGTGAATGGTGGATTAATTATCAGGAGCTCTTCAAGGAGTGTCTCTGTCAAATGGGCCCATGGCAACTGGAGAGCAACTCAGACCGCAGAGTTGTGTATTAGATCAATGATTTTTTAAATCGATTAGTGGGGGGTGGAGTCCAACTGGGTCCACTCGGCATGGAGGCCACTAATTGGCCTATTGTAGCGTGTCCAGGGTGATTATGATGGAGAATTTGGTGGAATGAAGTACTCTGAGAAAACCCATCCCAGCGCCCCTTTGTCCACCACAAATCCCACTTGACCAGAACCGGGTTCGAACCCGGACCGCC